ATCTTTGACATGTCAATTATTATTATTATTATTATTATTATTATTATTATTATTATTATTATTATTATTATTATTATTATTATTATTATTATTATTATTATTATTATTATTATTATTATTATTATTATTATTATTATTAATGATGTGGATGATTTGTAGGCACTTTTTTATTTATTTATTTATTTCAAGTTGTATTTTATATTATTATTTTATTGTTTTTGTGTTAATAGTAATTTTATATTATTGTTTTATTATTTTGGTGTTAATAGTTAAAATTTAGAAAATACTTATATAAATTTCATATGTTTGATTCATACTTTTCTCTAATAAAAATATGACAAATATATTTAAATATCTTTTAAAGAGTAAAAGTGAAAAGAATTATAAAAAATAACTAGTATGATACCCGTGCAATGCACGGGTACCGATCTGTCTCTCGCATTGAGCTAATAAGAGTTAATGTAGGAAGAAAAAATAGTTACAGTTGAAGTATATTTTCGATAAAATACAAGTACTTTACTCATTATCATTTCTATTTTTGATAGTCGAAGATTCATGTGAATTTAAGAAGAAGAAAATTGCATAGTATTCTTCCTGCCTTATTTGATGTGGTTTAAAGATGTAATATAGATGGAGAATTGAGGATTTTAGTCTCGAATATGAGATATTTGTGATAGTAAAATAAAATACGTGTAATTATAGAATGACATAATAAAATCAAAAAAAGCTAGTTTATATTTAAAATTATATCCCATATATAAAACATAAATGAGATGATTTTTTAGAATAAAATTGTTATTATTACAAAATAATGTAGTTTTAGAAATATTGGTTTAAAAGGTAAGTGGAGTAATAAAAAAAATATACAATGAAAAAAGGAATGAATAAATTAGAGTGATATTTATAAATAAAAGATAAAAAAGAAAAAAGAAAAATGAATGATCAGGTTGAAAATGGGAAACGTTTATACCTCGTTTAAAGTAAGAAACAAAATGACTCAAGTTTTGCCAAGCATTCTCCCTTATACACACATGTTTCCGTTATTACTCAATATTTTGATCAGTAATTTCATGTTCCCGTTAATATTTAATATTTTGATCAGTAACTTTATGTTTCAGTTAATATTTAATATTTTGATCTGTAATTTAATATTTCCGTTAATATTCAATATTTTGATTAGTAAGTTCATGTTTCCGTTAATATTAAATATTTTGATCGGTAATTTAATATTTTCGTTAATATTTAATATTTTGATTAGTAAATTCATGTTCCCGTTAATATTAAATATTTTGATTAGTAACTTCATGTTCCCGTTAATATTCAATATTTTGATCAGTAACTTCATGTTCTCGTTAATATTTAATATTTTGATCAGTAACTTTATGTTTCAATTAATATTTAATATTTTAATCAATAATTTAATATTTCCATTAATATTCAATATTTTGATCAGTAATTTCATGTTTCTGTTAATATTAAATATTTCAATTAATAACTTTAAAATAAAAATATTAATAATATAATAATTAAAAATATTTTACACGTACCATATCAGTACTCGTATGTTCGCACCGGTACTAATGTGGTATGTTAAATTATCGTAAATCATTTATAAATTTGAAAAAAATAAGTCATTATGATGAAATAAAAAAAATTAAATAATTTATTAATTATTCTTAACCAAAATAGTTTATTATTTTTAAAAGAGATAATAAATCAGTTTGTATAATTTCTTCAGTATATAAAAATATTTAAATTAATAATATAATTATTCTTTTATATACATGGTGTTGTTTTAGTATTATTTATAAAAAAATATTATATACATGGTGTTGTTTTAGTATTATTTATAAAAAAATATTTAAATCAATAATAAAAAATAATTTTTTTCTTGAGTTTGAACCATTGTCAGAATTTGAACTGCCGTAAAAAGTATTAAATATTCAAGTTAAATAGAACTTTTTTCAATGTTGTTTTAGAAGGTATTATTGTCATTTAAAATTAACTATTTTTTCATTTACTATTTCACCATATTAAAGTCTAAAAAGAATATATCGTACTCTCTTAAATTTTTTAAGTTTTCAATACTAATTTATGAGTAATTCTACACAATTTTTAATGACAGAAAAATAAGAATCTCCATTCTTTTATTATTTTCATGAGATTTGGTGAGATTACTTGTAGCAATTTTGTGAAAAGGATATCACTAAAAGTAATGAAAACATTGTTCTCAGACTTGTGTGAATTATATATGATTAGATAGTTTCATCATAAGTTATTTGAGATAGAAAAAAAATCAATTTTCATTTTTTGTTCATAAAATATGAATTTAGTTAGTAATTTAATTTTAATCATTAAGTTTAAATAGATCATATTATGAAAAAGAAAAAAATAATAGATTTGATTAAAGTAAAATTTTAGCCTAAGTTACAATGTTTATTTTAAGACATGTATAAAGTCAGCAAGATATTCTTCAAGCTAATTGATATGCTTCAAGCTAATTGATATGCTTCAAGCTAATTGTGTTTATATTGGTAACCTTCGTATTTGAATTTGCATTTTTGAGCTCAGCATATGCTGTGACAATCTGATCAGATGCATGTGGTAAAATTTAATTGATATAAGGGATTTGGACAAAATCTTAAAAATCATTAGAAAATAAAACTTAATAAGAGGAATAAATTGCAGTACATTAGAGAGAAATCATTATAAATCAAGAAAAGAATGTTATTTCTAGTAACATCTTCTTCTTCTCTTTCCATGCAATATTCTGTTATATTTGACAAGACATGTGTTTTAATATTAGCTTCTTCTTCTCTTCCATATTTTGCGCTCCCATCATGTGCTGCTTCACCTGCATTGGTAAGTAAGTTAATTAGAATTCTTTAGTGAACGCGTGTTTCTAGCATTTTCTGAAAACTGCTTAATTACCTCCATTAATGGCAGAACGAAATTGATGCATACGCAGAACATGCTTTGATATTTGGCAATCAATATCAGGATCCATATGATCCAACAAAATAAACAACAAATCAAATCGAGAAAGCAAAGAGTTTGGGACTCCAATATTTTTAGTTGGAGTGAGTGAACAATCATACTGTAGTATCAAATGACAAAAGTCAGTCAAATTTAAAAGAGTTAAAGGTACAGTAGAATATTAGTAACTTCTATTGTAAAAACTTCAAACAGAACTACAATGGCAGAATGCCACTTACACATTCATGAATTTCAAAGATTGGCATATAAAAACCTGGGAAAAGTGGAAAAACAGTGGAAAACATAGCTATAATTATTCATCACAATTATATGAATCATAATAACGACTTTTCAAATAGAAAAAGAAAATATTATGAGTTTAATCATAAGGTGTCAAACTCGAATATACCTACCACAATCTCTTGACCATAAGATTTGACCTTGGTTTTGCAATCTCCACTCAAAAAGCTGTTAACAAAGAACTAACTACAATCAAGTGCAGAATTTCCAGCATTATCACTTGAAGTTCGATTTCCAGTGGGGCCAATGTCAAGGGCAGATGCAAAAACAAAATTATATGATTATCTTGCCAACCGCTATCATCTGCAAAAATAATACAATACGATAATTATGAAACCGCAATGAAAAAGCCTAGAACAAAAAGAGGAATAAAATAAAAATCAAAAACCTGAAAAATCGAAACCATAATCCATAAACCGAAAGTTTAGGAATATATCAAGTTGTGCTCGAAGAATTTCAAGATGTAGCTCAAGTTTGGGAATAAATCTCCTCACAGCTCGGAGGCCATCCCTATACTTTGACTTATCATATTCCTGCATAAGATGGGAGTAATCCAAGTTCAGACAGTGAGAGTTAGATGTAACATTTTATTCAAAACAATTTCTTATTTACAAAAATAGTGAAATGTTGAACACAAGACAAAGTACCTTCTTTCTTGAGAGAGTGACTCGTGGAGACATTATCTCTGTTGGTGGTTGAGAGTAATTTTTGCCTCTGTACATTATTATTGTGTCATCTTTATGAATGTCAAGCATTATACCTCCAGTCAATCTTGTCAGCTCAGTGGCAATCTCCCTAACCTCCTTCATATTTTACTGCACTAACAGCATCACCATAAGTAGCAAGACATCGACAGCAAATACCGAGATGGCTCAGGGATAAAGCGTGAGCTCGGATGTACCTACCAAAAGCCAAGAATCAGTAGATCATTCTTGAAACCACTATCTAAAAAAGGGATCTTGGGATTAGTAGGGTTTTCAAATTGCTGAAGTAAGTAGGAATTAGGTGTTTTAGACAATATTTCTTAGGATTTCTGAACAACACCTTTCATTCCCTTTGCAGGGTCTGTCAAAACCAATTCAGCTCCAAAAGCTAACAGAATAATTCTTCTTTCAAGACTCATTGAAGCAGGCATCATAATTATGAGCTTGTAACCCTTGGTTACTGCCATGAAGGCTAATCCAACGCTAGTATTACCACTTATTGGTTCAATGAGAACACTCTTCGTGCAAAACAGTTATTAATGGTCAGCTATGGGATACAACAAACTAATAAACTAATACCCGCAATTCTTTTCTTTTGCTTCCCAATTCAAAATATTATACTTATCAATTTCAAAAATAAATTATGTATCGTCAAGATCTAAAATGAATGATATGATAGTAGTATAAATTATGATTTTTTTTGTTTCCAAACAAAACTATTTCAGAGAAGGCACTTTTACTAATTTATTATGGAAGTAAACCAACTTGTCCAGGTGTGATAAGCCCCATCTCTTCTGCATCAACAATCATTCTATAACCAATCATGCGTGTGAAATATACATGATACATAAGTACAAGCACAAGCACATGATCACAAAACACATGCAAAACACTATTCAACCAAAAGCATGAATAAAAACTCAGAATGAATATTTACCTGTCTTTAACACTAGAGCATGGCTCCATCAATTCGAGCTTGGCAGCGACTCGAGCAACACAACCATCAGTAAGTTTATTAAGTTACAATGACTGAGTTTTTCCAATCAACTACACTAAACAAACATTGGACAAGAAGAATATGTTATCTACAAAAGAACACAAACAATAATACAAAACATGGGCATGAAGGAACAAAAACTGACTTCTATAGCATCATTAGCAATTCCAGATACTTCCACAACTATGGTATCAAAAACTTGACAAAACAACAAAAACTATTAGCAATTTAGCATAGCAAATAACAATCACACGGATATACAAATTCTCTATATAAACAAAGAATACCAGTCAAGTCCCATGGCTCTCCATCTTCTACATTTCTAATGGCACGAGCAGGAATCCCCATGTCCAATTTCTCCCAAACCTTCGACATATCACAGACTGATTTTGAACAGAGAGGGCATGCATACCTGATATGATACACAATCAAATAACATGATAAGGTAAATATTAAAATAGATACAGAGAAGTAGGGAGGCTACAAGCTCTGTGTGAACACTTACTGGAAATGTTTTATCATTTTATTCAGACAGCTTTGATGGATTGTATGTCCAACGATTGAAATTCTTTTAAGAATAAAAGAACAACAGTACATAAACCATTATTCTATTACCTAAAGCCAAAATCAATGAACATTATCAGTGGAAGAGGCTTTCGTATCTACATATTCAATCATAGCAGCAAGAAAATTCAACGGTATACTAACTTTAAAAGAGTAACAATTACATCTACAACATCCAAAAAACCGAAAGCACCGGATACAGATTATACAAAAATCGTAAGGAAAAAAACCTTGAGAAGTGGAAGAGAGTAACTCAAAGTTCGGATCATTATTTTTCGCATAATTCGCAATCAGAATCTTGGTGTATGGAAGTCCAATAACATGTATATCAAAAGGATTAACAGGAACAACATATATGCCAGCTCCACGGTTCCTATGTTCCTCAATTTGTGGTTGAGTCAACCCTGGAATCAATGCAGGATGCATACCAGGAAACATTTGATAATATCCATCCGGAAATTGCGGAAAATTGGAAAGCTCCGGGCCTGAGGCAACAATAAACGAAAAAAAATCATAATTCGTGGCACATTTCCATTCACAAATTCAAAAAGCAAGCAAAAAAAACTCAATAATCATAAAAATAACAAACCCTAGCTTTAGTTCAAAGATATCAAAAAGGGATCAAATTTTGGTATTGAACAATTAAGCACCCAAGCTGTGAACGGAATTGGAATTGAAGTGGATTGTGAAACCTACCTGAGGTGGATCTTGTGGCGATTTCAGCGAAGAGGAAGAAGAAGGGTGAGAAGGAGAAGGTTGTGAAGTAAACGACACCGTTTCGGGAGGATTTTCTGCCATTGTGGTTTGAAACTTTTGCGCAATTCAGATTTTAGGGATTTGATTATTTCGAATGCGAAATTTGAAACTTTTTGGATTTGAGATTTTGTTAGTTTTAACGCTGAATGAAAATAAAGCATGATTGAAGAAAAACATAACCGCTGCACAAAGGTAGGGGAACGAGGAGAAGTGGAAACAAAGTATTATGTAACCGTCGATTTAGCTTGAACGAAATAAGGAATAGGAAGGTTGGAGAAGCAGATCAAAGGATAGTGGAGGGGAAGGTTATAAAATGTGAAATCCTAGAAGAATATAGTATTAAGAACACATGAAAGTGGAATCCCTATAAAACTATCTATATGGTGATTTTGGAGCAAGAGGATAAAATAGAGTTTTTGGGTAGAATGATTTTTCTTATATTAAACATTATAGATTTATCATATTTTGTACAAACCAACGAACCAAAGAATTGTATTTAAATTTTTTCCTTTAACATTTAAATCTTAAAAACTTTGTCTTACACAATGTTGAACTCAAGCCACCACACATGCAATGTGTTCTGGATTGGGCCCGACAGGCCCAAAAGCATTGCAAAGGCCCAGAGGCCCAGTCCAAATAGACTTACAAGGGTCACGCCGACCAAAGAGTGAGACCGTGCTCGACGCGCAGTCACTGGCTCGACGATACACCTCCAGCTCGACATGAGGTGGTCCAGCACCACATTCTGAGGCCCAGCTCGACGTTACCTCTAGCACCCCAGCTAGGGCAGACTCAGTCCACTGTTCCCCAACGATACTCCGAAAAGACCGCGTCTCCGTCCGCCCGCACTTCACGCAGAACATCCAGGAAGGGGACCACGTGCGGGTCCCCACTACGCACGTAGAACCTGGCAGTTCCTCCATTGGGCCAAACCTGCTCGGCCCAGTGAAGGAACCTTGGCCCAGCGCTGGGGGCTATAAATACCCTCTGCTTCCAGAGGGTCAGGTATTGATCATTCTAACCTTACACTTGCTATTATCTGCTCGTGCTCCTACTTACTTCAGCATCGGAGTGCCTTGCAGGTACCCCCCCCACCTCGTTCAAAAAAGCTTTCTGCTTGGAGCCAGCCGTGACGGTCCATTTCTGATCAGGTCAGATCAGTGGCGCCGTCTGTGGGAACCTAGCTTCCCCGTCTAACGAACAATTCTAAAGACCAAAGCTCAATTCAACTACCTGCCATGGCTGATCCAGCTCGCGACGAGCAGCCCGTCCGTGTCGCCGACGCTAATAACGGTACCGCGGACAAGAATGGACACCTCGATAACCCCGGTGATCCCGGCCACAGTGTTATCCCTGTGACAACCGCCCCTGGACCTTCCTCCTACAGGGACGGGGCTACTGCATCATCCTCTACGACCCCTCCAGCACTCGAGGACGACCCGGTAGCTCTCGCTCATCACAGAGCTGCCCGGTTCTATGAAGTCCCAGTTCCCGCCGGGGCAGATGCCACGACTCAGGCACTGTTCGCGGCCATTAATCAGACAAATTATCTCATCTTCGCCCAAGGAGAAAGACTAAGGGCACTTGAAGATGATCGACGACCCCCGAGGAGGCATCGGAGGCCACATTCTCCACCTCCTCGGGTCACGGAAGTTCGACACCCTTCTCCCCCGCGAAGACACTACAGGGAGAACTCCAGGAGCCCTTCTCCCAGGCCCAAGCAGAGGCGGCCCTACCATGAGAGACAGCCCGCCATCCCTGCCGGAGAACCCAGTCGCGACCCATCAAGGCACGACAAGAGGCACGCCGGGGACGGGCGTGTGACCTTCAACCACCGAGCATCACGCTCGAGGGAAACTCAGCACGATCATCGTGCCAGACATAACTACAGGAGCCCTTCTCTTTCTCCGGAGAGGAGCGACGAGGACGACCCCCGCGGTCCCCTGTCGCAGGCCATCATGGATGCACCCATCCCCCCGGGCATGGAGAAGCCCCCGCATCTGAAGGAGTATGACGGAGTAGCGGACCCGGTCGACCACATTGACGGGTTCAAAGCCATGCTCCACTATCATAATGTCGGGGGGCCCATCAAGTGCCGTCTTTTCCCCACGACCCTCAGGAAGGCGGCCATGGACTGGTATAAAGGACTCGCCCCAGGCTCAATTACGTCGTGGCGGAACCTGAAGAACCAGTTCATCAGTTCCTTCACAGCTTCTCGGCGCCATCCGAAGACCGAGGCGGCCCTCGAGGCCATCATCCAAAGACAGGATGAAACCTTTGAGGGAATTCATCAACCGCTTCAACCGGGAAGCAATACAGGTCCCCTGCGCGGACCATATGAAAAGATACCTGCTGGAGAGGGGTCTCCTCCCCGGCACAGAATTCAGAAAGGCTGTGGGTATTGAGCCACCTCCAACCTTTGATGCCCTCCTCGACAAGGCCCGAGCATACATGGACTACGAGGAGAGAGAGGCTGCCAACAGGGCCCGAGACTCCAGGGCTCGCGCTCCCAACAACAGCAGCAGCTCACGACAAGAGCCTCCTCCCCGACGTACCGGGGAGAAAAGGAAGGAAGATCGACCCCGGGAAGTCCGGGAACAAAGGGGCCCCTCGGGCCGTTTCACCGAGTACACTCCGCTCACGGCTTCCCGCGAGCGTATTTTGGTGGAGTGTGCCAGTACAGATTTCAGAGACGGTGGCGTCAAGCGTCCCCGACCTGCTCCCGCCAAGCCAGGGGCAGATAAAAATAAATACTGTCAATACCATAGGAGTCATGGTCATTTGACAGAAGACTGCGTCCACCTCAAGGACGCCATTGAAACCCTCATCAAGGGAGGGAGGCTCGCACAGTACAGGCGAAACGACGCTCCCCGTCGTGACGCTCATGAAGCCAAGGAGCCCGAAGAAGATGCCCGACCATCAGACGAGTCGGTGCCTATCCAGACCGCCTTCTCGGTAACCAGGCCCGAGGATTTCGATGTTCCCGAGCTCCTGCAGGAGCCCCTGACAACACACAGCAGGTGGGAATACTTCCCCTCCGCCATGGCCATCAACGGGGGCGGGTTCAACGACCTCACCATCAATTCAGCTAAGAGGAAGTTGGACGAACTGGTCGACATAGCTCCTCCGCAAACGGTAACGTTCGAAAGGGTGAAGGGCAGGTCAGAGCCCATCACCTTCTACCTAGAAGAACTCCCCGGCGGAGCCCCGAACGCAGTCATCCCCTTACTGATAAGGGAAAAAATGGCCAATTTTGACGTGCACCGCATCTTGGTCGACGAAGGGAGTTCCGTCGACGTGATGTACAACCAGCTGTTTCGGACCTTACAACTGGACAACTCACATCTCTCTCCGTATGTGGGTTCAGATCTTCAAGGCTTCAACGGCTCGACTTCCAAACCTTGGGGTTATGTCGAGCTCCTGGTTACGTTCGGAGAAGGAACGGCTACGAGACAGGTTAAGGTCCGCTTCCTCGTCATTGATTGCCCGTCTCTATACAATTGCATCTTGGGGAGACCGACATTGGCGGAGCTGACAGCGGTGCCCTCGACTGTCCATCTGAAAATGAAGTTCTATACCAAAAGGGCACGGGTAGCCACCATCCAAGGAGACCTCGCCGCTGCCTGCAGGTGCTTCAACGCCGCTTCAAAGGGATGGGATACCGTCGACGTGGGGACCAGACCCACCAAGAGGACAAAGCAAGAGCCCGACAGAAAAACATCCCCCGAGGAAGACGTCCAGAAGGCTCCACCAAAGGTCGACTCCATAGCCCTCGACGCTCGCTTTGACCAGGACGAGCCATCCAGCAGCGAGCAAATCCCTCTCCGACCTATCCCGGACGGGGATTTTGAACTTGTTCCCCTCGGCGCAGACCCGACCAAGGGAGTGAAGATTGGCAAAGACCTCCCCGACTTGGCCAGGAAGCAAATCAAGGCCTGTCTGCGCGAGAATGCTGATCTCTTCGCCTGGAGCGCTGCAGAGATGCCCGGACTCGACCCTGAGGTCGCCTGTCACCACCTCGCCATTGATCCAGCCGCCAAGGCCGTAGTACAACATAGGCGTAGGCAGTCTCCAGAAAAAACGGAGGCTGCTGAAAAAGCTGTAAAAGACCTCCTAGAGGCAAATTTTATTTCTGAAGCCCGGTATTCCACCTGGCTGTCAAATGTTGTACTTGTGAAAAAGAATAATGGAAAATGGAGAATGTGTGTTGACTATACCGATCTCAATCGGGCTTGCCCGAAGGATGCTTTTCCTTTACCTAACATAGACATGCTGGTCGACAACTCGGCCGGCTACAAGACTTTGTCGTTCATGGACGCCTACTCGGAATATAACCAAATCCCAATGGCTCTGGGCGACAAACACTGCACGGCGTTCATGACCAGCTCGGGCAACTATTACTACAACGTAATGCCCTTCGGACTGAAGAACGCCGGAGCAACTTACCAACGTATGATGAACAAAGTGTTCAACAAACAGATCGGCGACATGCTCGAGGTATATATGGACGACGTGATCGTCAAATCCCGAGTAGACACCGATCACGCAGCTCATCTCAAGACAGTCTTCGCCCAAGCAAGACAGTGCAAGATGAGGTTCAACCCCGAGAAGTGCACGTTCGGGGTTAAGGTAGGAAAATTCCTTGGATTCTATCTAACAGAACGAGGGATTGAAGCCAACCCCGACAAATGTCGGGCATTCTCCGACCTCCCGACACCGACGTCGAAGAAATCGATACAAATCATGAACGACATGCTGACGTCACTATCCCGCTTCATCGCGAAGTCCGCTCAGCACGCCCTCCCCTTCTTCAAACTCCTTCGAAAGGAAGCAGCCTTCAAATGGAACGAGGAATGCGAGCACGCACTTCGCCATCTGAAGCAGAGCCTGTCTCAACCGCCCGTGCTATCTCGACCAGACGACGGGGAATCGCTGTACTTATACTTGGCCGTTTCGAACGAAGCCATCAGCGTAGCCCTTGTCCGCGAGATCCCTGACAGGCAGAAACCTGTCTACTTCACGAGCAAAGCCTTACAAGGGCC